GCGCTTGCCGTCCTTAACCTACATAGGAATCAACTTTAAGCAAGTCTCACTTACATAACGATCGGTACGAAATACCAACTTCCTTTATAAGGTACATTTTTTAACCTCATTACAAAATTTATGTGTTGTTTCGCGTCAAAACCCTGTTGAACGGTCGTTCCACATTTCGATTTACTCTCGATTTCGAACAGAAAATCTCTAGTCGATTCATTAAAAGGAAAAGCTTAATTTGCCACGTGATTTTATCGGCTGCAAGAATAATTGGTCTTGAGCGGTTGGCGAAGAAAACATATTGTTCCTGAAATTGATACACCAAATTGCAAAAAGAGGATAATGAGACAGAATAGAGTTTGCTCCATTTCCCTTCTGGTTATTTTACTTTTACTTCACCACCTTGACTAAGCTAAACCTTAAAAGTAGGTGGTATACGAATGTGAGATTACGCAATAACTTTTTTTGACAAAAATGCCAAAAAAACGTCAAACTATATGTTACATACGTCATGTAGCTCTGTTAATTTCGGCACAGCAAAAATGGACTTTGGGCTACTCCAGTACTGAACTTCAGTAGACTGGTACAGAACTATAGTATATGTTGAATAATATGACCAATAAAATTTAATTAAGAAATTCATTGTACTATTCAAAACAAACGTAGAAGTAAACTGAACTCTGATATCCTTTTGTTTGCATATTTCTTGAGGGTGGCCACCAAAGTCGCCAAACCTTATCCCTATAGTTTTAAGGGGACTGTCTAGAGATCAGTGATGATTTAAATTGTCCGTAAATTTCGAATATGTTTCACTAAAACTGATTCATTGATTCGGAAATGTTGTTGAATGATTAGCTAATCTGTTTTTTTATAAAATAAGGATTTTTAGTACAAGAAAATGCTTATACCAAACGACTCAAGTATCATAAAAGGACAAAACTCCGGAAAAAGTGTGCAGTTAATAAACCAAATTCTGTTTTGAAAGAAACAGAACATTGTAGCAATGAACTTCAATTAATAGTCAAAGATTTTCTAAAAAATATCGGTAATAATAATTAACGGAAGGTGTTGAAATATGTATTCCTGGCCTCTCCAATCTCAAGTTTATATAATCTTGCAGTGATAGTGCATATGTCTGGGCAATTCAAACACAGAAACCTGTTTTCCTTAGGCACACGAATCCTGCACACAATGGTTACTTATGGTGCCGGCGCACCCTTTGAGTTTTTGGCAAACCCTCATAGGTCACAAAAACATAATAATAGCCTTGACTGACAGGAATATATAGAAAAAAAATTCGGGTTTTTTGGCCCTGGTCTGCAGGTTTTTATGTCTGACGTTTCGTCCACTACTGCGGTAGACATCATCTTCCTAGGTAACGGGAACAACAACTTGGTCACCAACTCGGGCACTGTGACCATTACCTTGCCTTTGATAATCTCTACCGCAGTAGTAGACGAAACGTCAGGCATAGAAACTCAGTGATCACGGCCAAAAAACTCGGAAAATAGCTTTCTTGTCCTTCAATGTAACCATGGCAATGCTTATCCAATTTTTAGGTCTCATTCAACTAATTATCGAACTGTTCGTGCCTTTATTATAATTTTGTTTTCCATCAGGTTTCGACTACACTACAAGTCTCATGTATACCAACTCTTTTTTTGTTGTATATTAAATTCACATTAAAAAACGTCATCGATTCTTCTGTTGCCAATAATAACAACGCAATCACTGGATATTCTGAAGGGAGTTTCTACAAAAACACCCTTAGTCAATCAAAATTTTTGATTATGTTAAAATATAACGCCCGGCCAATTATTATGTAAAAATATGTATATGTCATCAACACTGTTTCCCCGAATTCCGCAATCCATTTCTATGTTGCATCTATAAAAATAGCTATATTGCGATTCTTGGAAGTTTATCGTTGACAACAAAATTCTGACCTGGTTCCGAAAAATTTCAACAAGCCCTCAACGACGATAACGAACTGGGTTAGGCTTCTGAATAATTTTCACTGTCTTTCTTTATTTCGCCAGGAAAAACGTAGGTTAAAATGAACGTTTCTCAACAATTACAGAGATTACAATATTGAGGTTAATGGCTGTATTGTAATGGTAAAAATTGTCTGTGTACCTTTGTTCGTCACAATTATAGTAAGCTTCTTGCACAATACCAAAACTAACTTTGCAAACGTATTTATCAAAAGTAATAAAATATGGAAAATTATCTCATCAGGTTGTAAAGATTTAGATAGTGGGTTTACAATGGATCTGACTAATCTCGGCAATGAGAATTTGATATTTTTTTTGCATCTGAGAATGTAATTTTACTCAAAACACGCGACTGTAAAACTAACCTTTCTGTTCCTCCTTTAGTATACGAAAAATGGAAAACTTACAGAAACAAAAAAGAAAGAATCAACAAGTATCGAGGAACTATGTTGTTGAAAAATAGAAATGGTATTAGAGCAGACATTCAAAAATAGTAGAATATATCGTAAAACCGTTAACATACTTGAAGAATACTTGCTTTGCTCTCCAAACATGCATGCTCTCCAAAAAAGTCAAAAAATTTCATAATAAATTCACGTTACAAAAACGGAAGTTAACACTCGTAGAGCTCTTCAAAACATTTTGTCACACTACTCTTCCTAAAAAACTCAAAAGCTACGGTTTCAGAAGTAATACTTATAAAATTGTTAAAAGCGACCTATCTTGTAAAGAGCAAAAAGTAAAAATGCTGTTTTAAGTGGATCAGAAGCATTTAAAACAGGGTCATCCCAAGGAACCGTTCTTGGACCTTTGTTATTCAACATCTACATAAGTAGCATGCTATATTTTTATAATAATAACAGAGTCGTAAGTATTTCCGACATGTTTCCGATTTTTTAAAAAGTTCAGTAAATATATCCTGGGAAAAAGGTAAAAATACCAAAAGACCTATAACTTATCGAATACTTTCGATTTCAAAATCAAATTTTTCAGGATATTTTTAATAATTCAGGAACCCGAACAACTGAAAATTTAGTTTTTCAGACCAGATGATCGCAAACAAGTCAATCCAAATTGTTATGAAATTCCTAACGTTCAGAAAATGAATGAATATTGTGAAAATTTAACTTTATTCTCATCATCCGCAGCAGCTGTGGATTTCGTAGAATTTCATAGGCTAACTTTTGTTCGCCTTCACAAGTACTAATTGTTCATATTGTTTTTTACAACCAGTCACTTCTCAGGATCTATATCAGAAAAACGAAAAATTTTCAATATTTTTTTCAGATCACAATAGTTTAGAATACTTTGAAGGAAAGCGAAACAATCGATAAACAGACTGAAAATGGAATATTTTTTCAACTCCGGTAGTGATTATCCTAATATTTACCTTATTGGTATTATACTTAGAATATCGTAAAAGATAAGTATTATTTCTTGATAATTTTTTTTGATAGGCAAAATTGTTAAATACGACAAGTTACTGATGAATAGAAGATTTTTCTTTGTGAAAAATACTTTGAATTTTACGCAGTAACTTATCGGGATGAACTGAAAAGTTTGCCCTTCTACACTTGTATAAAGTTCTCCATTATAATTTTTATATTTTTCAGATTGTGGAAGGTAAGAAATACCCAAAAAAAAGGTCGATATAAAACTGATTTTTCCTCCACAAAAAATGACTTTCGTTGAATATCTCTGTAGATAACATCCTTCTGAATAATGTCTCAACCTTAATGATTGCACATTTTTTCTGGTGTGGTATAAATGTTCAGTTGATATCTAATTATTGTGCAAAACATAGTAGTTAAATGAAATATATTTTGAAATTTTTTCTCGGGCCTTATTTATCGCATCTTATTTAAACTTTCAACATAATGTTATCGAAATTTTTCAATGCCCCGCCTAGACATTTCAATTAAGGTTTCGTATCAATAAATCGAAACTATTCCAATTCATTTCAAAGCACTTTCAAAAACTAATAAAAATGTAAATGATCTCTTAAAGTCCGTACTGTCGCCATTACCTTGTGTCATGTTAGCTAGAAACATTCGAACAATACCGGAAACTGAAATTTTCCTTGACCTAAAAAGTCCCATTTCATTCCACAGTCGACGTGTTGCCACATGATTTATTCAATAGTATGTGAATTATTAACTTTGTAATGCGGATAATCACCGCACTGACTGTATATACGAGCCTTCTTCGAAATTTCGAAATGACGCCGTGTGGGAATTATTCTGGCCCGACTACTATTAGGCAATTAATCGATAAAATCACCTGAACATTATGATGGCCAGTCTCGTTTTCCACGATTTGAATGAGTAGTTAACTGAAGCACCAATAATCACGTAACCGAGTAATTTTGACCCGTTATAGCTCTAGTCGAGCTTGCTACTTAGAGACGTAATCGCTATTCTTTTTTACGATTTCAATTAAAAGAAAATTTAGAATACTTGAGCTTCTACCCACGTCCTACTTTCAAATTGAGTCATTTAAGGATATAAAAAACACTATAATAAATATTGAAATGTTAGACTGAAAATATCTTATGGAAAAGAATGTAACACAGTAATGAGACAACCAAATCACTACGGTCATTGCGTTATCAACTCATGTGAAAAATTGCTCACTATTTCAGGACAACTATTCACCATTTTATTAATTATTCGGTAAATATGTACATATTTGTATTGCAAATTCCAACTTCGATAAGTGGCAGTTTGAACATTCGAACATTCCAGTTTTTTTAAGGACAAAACACAAGTTTGAAAAGGCTACTGTACTAAAATAATATAAATACTGTGTTACTGATGTGATTGGATTTCTATTGCGGAAAAAAAATTTTCAGTTCGGTAAATTCAAAAAACATTTCGAAATTAATCTCACCATAATGTGGATCAGACAGTTTCTACTAACTTCTGTTCTAAAGTAATATTGTTGTGGCCCATGAAATGTATTCAGTCACTTCCAACAGAATGTCGACTAAGATTTTAATGATTTTTTTTGTTTCAGTTGATAAAGAGCAAAACAACTACAACCAACTTCACCAGTTACTTTCAAGACAAAGGACCGATCTGCAACATCCCAGCTTATGCGATTATGGACGAAGAAAATCCGTTTACCCCCCTACAACTGGTATGTGCCGATTATTCATCACGTTTTAAGCTCATGAAAAGTTCAAACCGTTTCAGAAATATTTTCTTCAAATTATCTGTTACGTCCGTCATTAAAAGCTTATAAAATCGGTCTCAATATCCTTCACTTCACTTTAAATGTCAATAAAACATCCTTAACGGTATTGAATGCTATCTCTCTATAAATGTTTTTCAGATACTTTTCTAGACTTTATCTCCTTGAACCCTCGATTTTTCACTTCCAATAATCGAATGTATGCTATACAATCCCCCATTTTTATTAGTCCTGAAGATTTTATTTCGTCCTCAAAAGTAAACTAAGTCTGTTATAGTCAACACTTTTTTTGTTAAACGTCATTCAAATCTGCCACCAATGAGGAGTTCACCCATAACAATTGTTTCTGTGTTTATAAAAGGATATGTCACTGCTTCAGTCATAATTTGTATAACTTTGAAATCATTTAGTAACGTCCATCAATATGTTAAAAGCATATCTAACGTCACATCCGGGGTAAAATCGTAAAAATACTTGCATAGAACGAAAAGACAGTATACTCATTTCTTTAAAGTTTTAAAGTATATTACTACTACGCACAAACCTTCAGTGAGGTGTAAGGTCTTGATATCATTGGTCTGGGTATCTGTGACGTCATTCCTTCAATCTGCAATGTTTATTTTCGTTGTAGTGTGGCGGTAACTTCAGTTATCGAGTCTGTGATTGGGCTATAATGCAGCAGAATAAAGTAACCTTTTCGTTTTTGGGTTTTTTATCTTATCACCACAAATGTTTTCTTTCAGTTTCGTAATTTTCGTGAGAATTCCATCGTGAATTATTGATTTTCATAAATTCTTTTTTATTAAAATGAACGCGACTGACGTTATGAATGACGATGAATCTTCTGCAAGTTCTGGTTTGAATGTTACATAAGAAAATTGTAAAACGGAGTACCTATGCTGAGTTTGAGGAGAATTTGAATGATACATAATAGTTCTCGCATCAGCATCGTATGACTTGAAGAATCTGTCGTACCTTTAGCTGTACCTTTTTTCAGCGAATTGTTCTGAACATACCATCACCAAATAAAGGTGTAAAAATTTTTTGTTCTCAAGTTTGAGGGAATTCGCGTGAAAGGGCATGCTTTCAAGTGTCCATCGAAACCATCGTTGAGTCAAAACTCATTTTTTGACACACTATGTACCTTTTTTCGGCGAACACCATATATATGTTTGCCTTGGAAGGCTAATATTTCTGATACACGTTCTTTTGCATGACCATATTTTCTTTGTATTTGCATGGACCCGCATACACACATGCCAAGCACTGACATCTGATATTATTCCATCAAAATCAATTCTTCTCGATGACAGTCCAAATCCCACCCCCAAATCCGACATTGCATATTTTTCTTCGATAACACGTATGTCTTGGGCAGATGTTTGTAAGGGTGCCGCAGAATTGACTAATCATAACGCAACCCCTTCGAACACGTGTCAAATGGGGAGATTTTCAGAAAAACACCCAAAATGCATAATCCTTTCGCAATGTGTCATTTTTGTGTACACTGCAACCGTATATTGTGGACATCGGGGTATCCACGTTGACACAATACTAGAATGTGTTGCTGTACAGCTGTCCTTAAGAGCTTATTCAAATGCTTAACCCTTTTGAATTGCACAACAAAGAATTAACTTGCAGCTTTTTGTTTGTTTGAAGAAGATCGCCGCAAAATCAATATTGAATCTTAAGTGAGCTTCAAGAATAGAATTGGACATTAAATGGTGACACTGTAAATATTTCTTGGTCTGTCTTGGATAAATCGTATAGAATATTACCCAAACCCAAATCATGTTTTTTATAATCGTTTGGTATTTCCTAAAATTACCGAGATTTATTGCCAACTTCGAATACAAATATTATTATGTGTTGATAGGTTTTAAAATGTATCATCGAAATATTTTATAGAAATTTCAGTTTTTCAAGGATCCTCGTAGATTTTACAATTTTTTCAACAAGTTGAGATATTTGAAACTTTGAATACTTACAAAAAAAGTCAGTTACATTTCATTTTTACAATTACTAGTCGGAAATTAACATGAAACAAAAGTTGTTTCAGAGAAGTATGGATCTTGGAAAATGGATAATCTATAAACTCAATATCAGTTATCTAACAAATATTTAAAAATTGATTTTTACATTTATCATCATTAATCAGTTGAAAAGTTCAAAAACTCACAAAATATGTATTATATTGAATGTAAATTAGTTATGCGACACTGGAAATATGTTTCGATCTGTTAGAGATCTCATCAGTGGTACTAACTGCAAATTAGCAAAATGCTAAATAAGAATAAGTGGTGTTAATGTAAAAATTCAACCACGAATATTAAAGACAAACAGTATTAACAATGGTTCTCATAGCAACAACAAACTCCGATATCGACAACCGAATGAGAATTCGTTTTCTGTCACTCTCTGCAGCTTTGGAAGCAATCAGGCAACTGAATGCTCAAATTGTATAATACATAATCTGAATGTAACTTCACACCAAAATGTGTCAAACAGTTTCTTCACAAAATGTAGGGCATATAAAAAAATTGTTTTATTGGATAAGTTGTATGCCAACGTAGTAGTAAAAGAAGATAGTTTTGGCTGACTCCAAACAATATGATATTTATAAGCAATCAGATTCGTGGATTTTTCCATAAAAATCACATTTTTGTTGTCTCAAAGCTTTGGACACATTTCTTCGATCTACGCATTACTCAAGATTTTCGTTTTGTAATACTAAGATTAGCGGTATCTCTCTTATCAGGACCACGACTTGTAAAAAAAAGTTTTTTAGATATTATATTTGTCGTCTTTTTTGCACAATCCTTGTCGACATTAATGATCGTGCTGAAAAAAATTAAATCCATTACCAATGCTTGTGTCACACACACCATATAATATCGCATATCCGATATATTTTCATTACCAATGATAATTGGTAGTGAAAATATATCGGATATTGCGATATAATGTATTTCTGAGGAAACCTTTTTTCATCGAATCATCGGTCAACAAATATTTTTTATTGAAATCGAATTATCAAAATCATACTTGAGAACATATTTTATAAACCCAAAATTAGTAATACACGAAGAACTCAGTAATCAACCACAAATGTTGTAGGTAGTTAAAAAAACGTCACAAAATCCCAAAACTACTTTGGAAGTTATATTTCAGATCATAAAACTGTTGAATTAAATGATTGTACTTTCGAAATGTGTCGATGATACAAAAATGATTACGTTTACGGGATAGATTTGAAGTACAGTGCTTTTCTTTAATGTCCCCCCCTCCTTTTTTGAACGGGTCAACTCAAAAATTTGAAATTTGGGATAATTGAATTAATGCATGAATACTTTATTTTAAGTGAAATTGACAGATAAACTTCAAGATAGCGACTGGGCGCCCCATAAAAAAGTCCAAAGGTGTCAAATCTGGCGAGCGGGCTGGTCATTCTGTTGGACCACGATGGTCAATTCAACGACCTGGTAAAGTAGTATCCAAATAGTATCTTACTTGTCTGGAGTAATGTGGTGGTGCTCCACCACATTAGAGGGTCAACAGTAGTTTCCAGCATATTCAAACGTTAATTTTTTCTGGATATTGGGTATGTGTTTCACGGAAAACGTGAGGGTTGGTGTCACTCCAATAACGACAATTTTGTCTGTGAATATTGCCGTTTAAAAAAAATGTACATTCGTCACTAACACAAATATTGTGGAGATAGGCAGGATGCCATGCAATGTTTTCCGTCATGATTTCGCAGAATTCATTTCTTCGATCAGGGTCATCTTCAGTTAATTGGTGTACCATTTTAATTTTGTATGGATGATACCTATTCCTCTTCAAAAGTATCCACACAGTAGAAGGAGACACCTCACAAACATTCGCGACGAAATAAGTAGACTGTTCAGGATTTACTACCATCTCACCAATCATTTACACCTGCTGTTTTTCCGAAATGGACGGATGACCTGGGGGCTTTTTGTTATGTACACTACCGGTAGTTGAGAATTTGGATACAAGTTCCCTCAAATATTTTCTACAGATAGGACGATTCGAAAAACGTTCATTGAAAGTCCTTCCGGTCTCTCGTCCAATGGACGAGAATTGACAATTTTAGACATTGCTGACGTGGAACCTTTCTACTAGTAAAACCGAAAACTTAATGAGAATATTTTAACTGAACAATGATGTTCATTGTCGTACTGACATTTTTATGTCGTTTTTATAAACAAAAAATAATTTATCGGGTTGTTGGAATTACCATATGGCAGATAAAACGGAATATTTCTAGAAATATCGATATTAATGTGTTTGTCCTCCGGAAATTATTAAATTTTCCGCCATTTTGTAGTAGGTGAAGATATTGACTTCATATTCTAGGGTTGTGAAATATTCGTCAGGAGCTTCAAAATGATGTGTCACAAGACCCTCCTTTCCATTTTTTTTCCCTGATGGCGCCCTAACGCCATTTTGAAAGTTTCATCTGTCAATTTCACTTCAAAATAAAGTATTCATACATTAATTTCATTATCCCGAATTTAAATTTTTTGAGTTGACCCGTTAAAAAAATAAAAGGGGAGGGGGGACATTAAAGAAATGCACTGTATACAAGTTTTGAAAGTAACGGAAGCTGATTCTTGTTACATTTGAAAGTTTACTTAAATAACACAGTCCGAAACTTTATATTGGTCAAATGAGAAAAATTTTCTTCAAAAGTGTAAATTAGAATTGAAGTATTTTGCGAAAACGCTGTATGGCTTTCTGGTTCTCCATCATTATACAAAAAATAGAGTAACCTCCGAAGAAATGAAAAAAATAATAAAATTATTACACACAAAGTAAAAGAAAAAATCCAAGTAATTTCTGAAAGAGTAGACCAATTCAACATTTGAAACCTATCTCTTGGCATAACGTATTACATTTGGATTAGAAAAAACACTCAATAA